GCAGCAGTCAGGCTTTCAGCACAGATTTATCATCTACTTTCAGCACGCAGATTTCCCAGCCGATCTCCTGCCCCCTTCCGTTCCCTGAGCAGAGGCACTGCAGAGCACGCTCCTGCCACAGCCGTACACACCAAACCACATCGGCCCCGCTAACTGCTCAGGGTTTGAGCTGCTCATCTACAGGACTGCAAACATAGAAGGTAGTGCTCTCCTTTATGGATAAGTGTTTCTAAATCTGTTAGCGAAATTGTAGCAAAATACTTGAAGTCTAGGTTGGGTTCACCTTTCATCAAATTTTAACACATACAGCAAGTGCAAATAATGCCATGAATTTGTATGTGTAGCTTCAATGCCTTAAACTGTTACTTATTGAAGAACAATGTATCACCCTATCAAAATAAACTCTACAGGAATATAAGTATTGATTTTCTTGGGCATTGCAGTGTGGTTGGACAAATTAAAGACTCTCTGCCATGGAACTCAGAATACAAACAGATGGATTAAACTGAACTGGCGCATAGGTAAGAAATGGCTGTAGAAGAGTCATGGCTAAAAATTGTCACAAAGGTTTTTGTGACAGTTGTAATTGTAGATTGCCCGTGTTCCTTTGACGGATCGTCACAAAAGTACTTCCCAGAAACACATTTCTGCCATTCCCCAGTGGAGGTGGTACCTGCAGCAGAGGTGGTACCTGCAGCAGAGGTGGTACCCCTCAGCAGACAGACTGCGCAGAGCAACCACTCTTCTGTGGCTGGGATGGTGTACCCTGATCTCAGCCATCCAGAAATGGGTTTTGAGAAAACACAAAGACATTTCTTTTAAGCTACTTGACAGCTGATAAGATACATTACCCAAATTTACACACGGAATTACTTAATCAAAGCCTCATTAAAAATAATTTTACCAATTAGAAAGTGCTAACCAGCCATTGATCTGATTAGCTGGTATAAAACAACAACCCTAACACAGTAATGCTGAAGTCCCGCTCTATTTATGTAATGACATTTTTGTCACTGATTTCAGCACAGTTGGAATTTTAATCCACCTTACAAACGATGAGAATAATTTCCAAATATTTGCATCCATGTAGAGAAAAGTCCTACTTTTTTTATAATAAGGCTATTTAAAAGCAACACAGAAATAAATTATCGCACATCATTTACAGTCAAACCACCAGCTTAAAGAGTAAAGAAAATTTTCTAGAGCATTAATTTTAACTTCACTGTGTACTGATAAGCTAAAATATAAGTGCCATCAAAAATATTCCACTACTGCGCCTCTCTGAGCAACCAGTTGTCTCCTAATATAAATTATAAATGTAAATCTTTTTCAATGTATTGTAACATGTATCCTCAAAATGCAGTCAGGCTAAAGGAAGGTTTATTTGATGAACTGAATCTGTCCATTTGATTAAAGGCCACATCCTGCATCAATGCGTTTTCCTATGCATTTTTTCACATATACGTTAGAATACACGACAAAGTTTACAGTCAAGCCAATTCACTGTTATTAACAGAACGCTTTCAAAATGCTGACTTTCTAGCTAGCTTGTTCCTTTACAGTCAGTATAATTAACTGGTGGTGGCTACAGTAGGAATAAAACTCTGTACATACACATGCATACATACATATTAGGACTGTGGTCAGACTAGGCTTGGTACACAACCTTTTCTGATTTTGATTGCTGATTTTAAAATAGTCAGACTCATGCATTGCTAATTCAAATTACATGCATCAACTTATAAATACATACACAAAAGTGTTCCTGATTTAACACAACTAACGTCTTAACCAAGCAATGCATTTACACTTTTTTTGAAATCCAAAATTAATTTTGAATATGAGGATCAAGACATCTAACTTGTATTCTTTAATCAGCCATTTTACGTTAGTAATGCAGTAATGTTGACATGAAGTTGCTTTGAGCAATATAAAACATATGCCACGGTGCATTCATTAAATAACTCTGCATAATGAGTTCCATCTATATAAATGACTTACCTCATTACTTATCACAAATTCTTCTCTAGGACTGTGGAAGAGGTATTCATACAGTTTATAGTGTTTAAATAAGCTGAAAAACAAGAGAATACAATACTATTACAGCTGTAAATCTTTGGAAAGGTAACAATATTAAAAATTCTGTTAAACCAAGAGTTACTCTCCAACATGGAAATACTCCAAATTTTAAAAAGAAAAGGTTGTTTAACTTCAGGTACAATATGCAGAATATTTAATTTACAGGATTTACTATCAGATGGCCATAGAAAATGAAGTATGATACTTAAAAATACATCCACTTTGTCCTTATGAAATTGAACTCTGAGAAGACAAAGTTCTACTCTGAAAAAAGTAATTCCTGAAACACTTATCATCAGGATACTTATGCCTTTAGTATCAGCAATAGTGGACAAGAAGGAAACAAAGCGAAATCAACTTTTAGATTCTGGGCTGGGCTGCCAGTCCAGGGAGCAAGCTTCATCTTGGAACAACAAAACAATAAAGAATGGAAGCATTTATTCTCTCAAGGTCATGTTTCAAAATCAGCATAGTATTTCCTCACAGAAAAACTAAAAAACTAGATTGACACACTGGAGTTTTGTGTAGTACAACAAAAGTAACTTTAAGTAGCTAAAATATTTACCTTCCTTAAAATATACATGGCTTTCCTTTTCACATGTTTTAAATAATTTTCTGTGTTCCCTTTCCTAATGATCAATGATACGGCATTTGTTTAATCAAAGGTCTGGTTTGTCACAGTCCATCCGTTACAATTACTTGTTCTCTTAAAATCATGATACAGAACCTCTGGCTTCTGTCATGTCATTTTGACATATGATTTAAAACACAGCTCTGTGATTTCATAGCAAGTCCAGGTGAAGAATGATGCTGAGAGTTTCTCACACTCCTGCCTGATGTACCCACAAAAGATACAGCAATATTTGCAGGGAACATCTGTACCTGGTTCCTGTGCTTTCCAGCTAAGGACAGGACACGTTCTTAAGAGAGCCATCAACTGGGATGGCAATGCCTCTTTGCTTGGCCACATCTTGCAAGGCCACATCTGGAATTCTGAGGCCTGCTGTAAGGAGGACTTTGGACTCCAGAAGTCCCTTCCTACCCCAATGTTTCTATACATCTATGAAAGTACCTATTACACCCAACATATGCAATTATCTAGCTAATGCTAAAGACACTGCTACTGGCTGCAGGATGTCATGCAAATGCTATGAAAACGTGTTTACAACGCCAGTGCTGGCCGCACAACCCCGCACAGGCTGCTCTTTGCAACATGGTGCTGCCCGGGGCTCTGGGAGAGCCAGCCCCCGCCGGTGCCACCCCGGCTGGCCGGCCCACGGCGCTGAGGCATTGCTCCCACCCTGGCATGGCTGACAGAAGGGCTCGACCAGCCAGCTGCGTGCAAGGCCAGAGGCTGCTGCGGGGGGACGTAGGTGCCCAAAATACAGTCCTGGCTCTGGGAGGTAACGGGGAAGCCAGCTGTGGGAGGCGATGCTCCGTACAGACTATTTTAGCTGACTGTCCTTCCCTGAACCACCGCCAGTACTTACACACTGCCACGGGCCGCTGCCGCAGTACCAGAGGTTCCATGAAATACTGCAGACCAGGGATGATTCACGCTAATTTAAGCAGTGCTAAAGTGCCGACTAACGCACAGCAGTGGTTCCTCCAGGCCGTGAAAGCAGCTCAGAATTAGGAGACTGAAATGGGGGCACAGCCTGCCTCCCTCACACGACAACAGTACATCTTCCAGCAGTTAGTCAAACGCATCCGGGAAACTTTCAAATAAATTTTTACCCGAAGGGGCGCAGACGTTTTTGCACGTATGTACAGATGCATTTCCTAATTTGGTGAGAAGTATTATGGCAGCCTCACTGAACATTTGGCTCTTTAAGTGCCATATAAAAGTTTTATTCTACAGTTACATTTAATTCAGTCATTCAATTACTATTAGTTAAAAAACAAATTTGTTTACCAACTTGCATAAGAAATTTGACTACCATATATCACAAGTTCCCTTCCCCCAACCCCAAAGCACACAGACAATTAATTAAGTTGTTACAATATTTGCCATTTCATTTGCAGTACATTTTTATTGCAGCACTTCACCAAAGAATTCCTGCCATGTTTCAGTGGAGACATAGGAATTATGTTTAAATGGACTTCAGGACTTAATCTGGAGATGATTTACACCAGTTTATGAAAATATACATGTCCCCTCACATACACAGCTATTATTTGGTAAAATAGTAACAGGAATTATTTGAAAAAGACAACGAATATTTTATGAATATCAGAGACACACAAGAAGTAAGATATACATCTTTCAAACTGTGCTGGCAGAACTTAACATTTCAAATTCTTTCCTTTTATTTATTCCAGTGCCTTGGATACAGCACCTGAAAAATCAGCTTTTCCCCTTTCCCTCTAAATGTGTTATGACATTCTCTTTGGACTATGTTACAGGTACAGATAATTTATAATATTCCCCAAACTAGAAGCCGTTACTTTTGGCATTTCTGAATTTTATTTATTTATTTTTAAACAGAACTCTGTTCAACCTAGCATCCTTAATCCTACATCAAGGAAAGAATTCCTCCATTTAGTGCTCTTTAAATCAAATCACGTCAATTATACATCAGTATTTGCTCTGAAACAGCAGTGTAGTTTTCTTTCTTCTATCAGGCATTACATAAAATGCTTTTTTTTGTTTGTATTTGTTGTGAACAATTAAAAAATTCCATGCCAACATTTTTAGCAATTACACAAAAATCATTTTACTCATGCAAGGAAGGTTGTTAAGAGTAGACCCTCTTATGATGTCATATGAGAAGCTGAAGGTGATTAACAATGACATATTTCCCTAGCTCCACTGCTTCCTGAAAGAAAATGTCAGGAGCTATGCTGATGTGTGTTTGCCCAAGGAGACAAGATAAAAAGATGATAACTGTCACCTTCCACCAAACCTGAAGGTGTCATTATAGCTGCTGCACAGTTTGTGCCAATGTGGTTAAGCATTTGTCCCCATTTCCATTTGAAATCCCATGGGTTTATAGCTCATCTGTAAAAATGTGATCAGAACTAAAACATGTCATACTACCTTGAGTAGAAAAAAAAAAAAAAGTAGGCTTATCATTTAAAATTAAACAAAAAAAAAGTGAAGAACAAGAAAAAATGTTGAAGTAATACATTAATTTGAATTGTAATAAAACTCAGTCAATGTATTTCTGAGTTCATAAAGTTCAAAATACACCCACATAAGTCTGCTGATTCAATGCTTATTTAAAGAAAATCAAATGACTGAAATAACGGATTGTATAAACTAGGCACATATGACACACTTCAGTGTATGTGTATATATCCATGACCTTGAGACAGCACATACTTGTAATAAATTGAGCTGTTTGAACATACAACCACATATTTGGTGGCCAAAACACCATTCTGCGCAAAAGTCTTGTGGCTTGATTCTATTCCTGCCCAGTGAGTACTTTAGGGGGAATAGGATGGAGCACCTAATCTCTTGGATGAAGTTCTTGCAACTGTGAAGCAATTACTTCATGGACAAGATATCTTTCAATGGATAATTTACACAAGACCTATAGATATGCTATTTGGAAAGAACATTTGTTCTAAATAAATATACAAAAGGCACAGACAGGAAGGGAGAAGTAAAAGAAGTTCAGTGAGACATCTTAAATGCCAAGTTTCCTCTTAGTTTAGGGCTAGTACTTGGCAGGACATCGGTTTGCCTCGACTACAGAAATTTGAGATCTAAAGAGGTGTTCTCATTTCATATGGGAAGAACCTGAAGTTTTTTATATTCTCCATGAAAAAGAAACAAAAGGAAAAAACGAGAGAGCAGGAGAAACAGAAAAACTTTATTGCCCAGTTGTCAGAGAAATCACCTGCGATGGGTTTGAATCCCCAGTCTGAATCTGAGTACCCTAAACTGGAAGGCTATCAGCCATCCTAGTGTATTTGCCTGCCTTCAAGAGGAAATACTTTTCTGCATCCAAGAAAACACTCAGAAAAAAACCTCTTTGATGTCTTTACCTAGCAAAAGAACAGAATATTCCCAACAATTCTATGTATGTATCAGTCATGACCTTACTCGCTTTTTATGCCCATCTGCCACAAAATCTCTAACCTGGGGAAAATGGGCTGGAAGGTACAGATGTAGTACAGGGTATGAGCACATATTACAGTAGTATCTTTTTCATCTCTTTGCCCCCGAAAATCATGGGTGATACAACAGCTTGAGAACCATTCTGCCCATGGGGTACTGGAAACAGTGGTATAGAAGTACGGCCACTGTCCTAACAACAGCATTTCAGCGGAGAAATGTGTGTATACGTTACTGTATAGTTAAGGCTTTACAGGGAGAGGTGTGACTGGCTGCTATCAGAGCCTCCATTTTTTTCTCAGATAAATAACTGAATTACTGCTGTTTCCATCTCCTTCTGTGTCTGTTTAAAAGCTGAAACCTGTTATAAAACCTTTTCATGTAGATACTGAACTTCTGCTAACTTTGAAAAACAGCATTTTTGTGACTCATATATGACCGTAGCCTTAATTCTCTGAAGTACGTAACTTGAAACCACTTAAGAAGTCCACTACAGCTGTCAAGGCCAGACAAATACTTAATATTATAGATGAGACCTAGGATTTTGTTCAACTGGAATCTGAAAATAGAATGTTGTAACAGCAAACCAAGAATATTCTCTATACACTACTCTCCCCTTTTCCTTTTATTCCAGAAGGAAGCTTTTCAGCACAATCTTACATTTTGATAAACTTCCAGTCTAAACTTATTTCCTGGGCTTTGACATGTGAGGCCAGATCTTTACTGCCACTTGCATATTCTCTCTTCTTTTTAATGCTTTAAAGTTTGGTGTCTGCAGTATGTTGGCACAGTATGAACATATCCAATTAAATAATTGTAACTTATTTTATCAGCCAATTTCCCACCACATTAAATTATTCAAACAAGAAATAACGGATCCTGTGGAAATAAATACCTGATATTCAAGTAATCAATCACTGCTTTGGCTTGCTCAATGCTGAAGAAATTCAAATCACCACTTCTTTCTGAATCAGTTTCTCCTATTCCAGCCATTGCTTTTCCAAGTTCTTTTAAATTATCTCCTAAGGTCATATGTTTGTCTGCAAAGTAAACCCAAAGAACAAAACCTAAGTATCAAGATGACAGGGTGGGGTGGGTTTTTTGGCCCATTTTAATTATAAGACTTCTTGGAATTTAAGAAGTTACGTTATGAGCCATGCAGAAACTTAAAAAGCAGCAGCAGTCAAACATTTTTGTCTGTTGCCATTATCCTCGTCAATAAAATGTGCATTAAAATTCCATCACAAAATGACTGATCCACCTTCCTAATGTAAGGACCACAATAATGGGTGTTTAAAATACTACAGCTTGGCCTCTTAAGCAGAGATAACCACAGGCACAATAGTATGCAAACTGGAAATGCATAGTATGTTTATCTTTAAAATAAATTTACTACTGTTTATGTATTGTAAAAGATTGTTCTTCTGACCATGGCCCTTGCAATATAAACTAGTAATTCAGGAACAGATGTTAAAAAGGGGAACCAATTCTTTTTAAGTGCTTACAGTCATAATTGATTAAACATGAACATGCATAACACTCTGCATTTATCATCAAACTTGGAGACATTTTTGCACCCCCCCAAATAGATAATTACTTTACATTTTTACCCTGGAAATCAAAACCAAATGCCAAACCAGCCTTGGATTAAAATTTTAATTCCTTTTGTTAACTGTCTTGACAAAGAGGAAAACCTGAACTATATCACTGCCCACTGAACCGTTAAAAAGAAAGGATTCATCTTTATGATTCGTGTACTGTGTGTGCCATCTCTAGAACCATGGTGGATTTTTTAAAAAAAGTTTCTAACACAATTTACTTGTTCTTTTTAAATCTAAAAATCTAAAGTAGAAAATGGGGAAATAGCCACCAGTGGTGAAATAGATTTATTTTCCTTATTGTTTTAATTCTCTACTGATCTGCTCCTTGGTTCTTTGTACAGAAAACAAATTAAAAAACTTACAAGATTTTGGTCTTTATAGTTTTGCCCTTTAGTGGTACAGCAATCAAATCCCTGCAAATTTCACCTCTGTTTTCAGTAACAGAGGCAGCAGAATATAAATAACCGTAATGGAATAAACAAGAAAGAAATACAGAGAATGTGGAGGAAATGGAATGGAATAGAATAGAAGCCATGGGAAATGAGAAAGAGCAATAGAACCAGAAATATCACAGTTAGTAGGGATGCGAAGACACATAACAAGATCACGAGAAGTCACAGCACCCAGGCCCAGGTCTGTCGCCAGTGAGTCCGGATTTTCTCTTTCCTCTGCACAACCGATTTTCAGCCCCCAACTGCCTCTCTCGGGAAGGCTCTCACAGTACGTCTGCGAGGAAAGGAGCACTTTACCCTCAGCTTATAGAAGATGAACCAAATCACGTAAGTAAGTCAGCCTGGCTCCCAATCAACCAAAGCTTCCAGTTTCCAAACCTCAGTTTTCCTCTCTCATTTACCAGCCTTAAATGAGTTTCCACTACCCTCCTTCTCTAAATCCATTCTTCCTGCTCCATGCTATTCTTGCTATGATGGCCAAATCAGCTTAATTCTCTAGGCTGCTCGGGTCCAATGTAGGGAAGGGAAAGGAAATGGTCATTAATAGAGAAGACATTAGCATTTTGGTCTTAGTTGAAATGTTTGGTCTTGGATCTTGCACCAGCTGAGAACAGTAATTACAAGGAAATTAATCTCAGCCCTGGGCTACAGCATACTTTGCAAGATGGATTATTCAGGGAACTTGGCTGTGAAGAAAATATAAGAAGTCTCCTGTAAGCATTTACAAACTGCATTTTCGTTCCCTAAAAGCCATGTATCTTAGCCAAATCCGAATGGATTTCCACAGGACAGCAAAAAGCAAATTCACAACACTTGCTTGCCAAACATTATTTCTTTACTTCAAAGCATAGGGGTATTAGATCTGT